ATGATTAAAAAGCATCAAATCTTTCAAATCATAAGAACTATTATTTGTAATTTTACTGTACTGCTCATTTATGAACAAGAATTCCAAAATAGAACATAGCACTTCATATTAACTTTCAATGTTTATTAACACTGTATGTTACACAACCTCCTTACAAAACTGAAAATAAAGTCAGCTTTGAAATTTTTATACTACCTTACCTTATACAACTATAATGTTTAAAAGTGCTGGCAGCTTTCTGACATTCCAGGCACAACTGAATAGCTCCTGGATAGTCTTCCTCCTTAAGATAACAACAGAAGTCATTAGGCTGGAAACATTTTCCTTAAAGTCTCTGAAAAAAGCATACCTCTGTTCATACTCTACCCAAAAGTTGCAGAATTGAAACATTTTAATTCTTCTGAAACAAAGATTAGAATACCAATGACAGAAAATAATAAAATGTAAAGAAGCAACTAGCTTCAAACCTAAAATTAATGTAGACAAAAAATTCTAAAATGATTCTGTTGCCTCAAATAGGCAGTAAGGGCCCCCTGAGACCATGGCCTACGGCATAAAGCTGCTGCACGGGAAAGGTGTTCTTTAGCTACTAGCATATCTTTTTTTCTGTAATAATTAGATGAAATCTTCCAGAACAGTGTGCATTCTACTTGTAATCAACATTCAATCGTTCTCCCACCAAGAAATAATAAATATTTCTAAGAAATAAATTTGAAAAACAGTGAAACATTCATTAACAGCCTCTGAATATTTTATCACCTGAACAGTAATTTCATGTCAAATGCATTTTTCACATGGACTTCTCAAACCTAGTTTAGTGGATAACTACAATCAGAAGTAAATAAAGTGATTATGCAGAAAGCCTAGGAAAATATCCCTATGAGCATATCTAAACGCAACACATGCAATTTAAACCACTGGGGATGCTGAGATGATGACAAAGTACCTGCCCCAAGGAGCTCAAGCACTATGGGGAAACACACATATTATAGTATGCTTTGGTAAACATTATAACGGGAGTAAACAGAGGAAAGCATCAAAGAGAAAACAGATGGCTCACTCAGAAAACCAATTGAGGTATGAAATACCAAACATAACTAAAATATGGCATATTCCTTTAATCACTACTATATCTTACATACAAAAGATAAGTTTATTGCTATTTGAATGCAGTGCAATCAAATGATATTGAAGTTAACCTGTCCACATTGCCACAATGTAAACTGTTCCCCAAATAAATTTTTATTTTTCTAAATTAAGTACAGGTCAATAGAAAATGCCCTAGAGCAAATACCTTTACATGTCTAAAATTACTCTTTATACCATGTATCAAATTTGAGAAAAAAATGTACATCTGAATTTTGTCCACTATTATTTTTCTATAATATTACCAGGATCACCAAATTTCCAAGTCTTGTTAACTTACCTCCAGCATTTCACTTAAGCGAACATCTGTTCTTTGCTGAAAAAACAAAATTCAAAGGTAAAATCTGTTTCAACCACAAAATTAAGTTTCAATTTTTAAAAAGTAATCTATATATACCAATGTTTTTATAGTTCTCAGAGATTTCAGAAGTCCAATCAGCAACTGACGTTTCCTTTGGTTTGCAAGAAGACCTAAACTAGCTTGAGTAAAACCTTCCTTTGCAATGTTCAAGTGTCTGCAAAAGTGAACAATAAATAATTTAAATTTCCTAGTATAATAATAACACTATCCACACAGAACAATTAGGCAACTAATGACGTAGCAGCCAGGATTACTATTAAAATCACAAGTTGTGACTACTATTTCACAAATTTATTCAATGGCTCAATCAGCATTACTCAAAGCATGGTGGGTGGACTGATGCCAATCAGAGACCTGTTACAGGTCCGTGACAAGAAAAGCATAGAAACTGAAGGTAAGCATTTAAAACACTTAGAATTTGACAGAACAATGTTATGCCTGATGAATCTAATAATAATAATAATAAAAAGAGGACTGTATTTTCTACACCTTTGGGTTTTTCTTAATTTCATTTTCCTAGTAATTTGATTTTATTGAATTTTACAAAAATACTGGTGATGGATTGAAAATTAAAAAAAAAAAAATGACTGGTCCTCACCACAGACAGTCTGAGAAGCACCAATTTAAACAATTTAAAAAAACAGTAAAATTCTTTAACCCATAACTAGATTTATAGGTTATACCCACATACCTTCTTAGCGCAGTTTTTAGATCATAATATACATTCTCTTAATGAACGGGAATTCTAGAAATTACAGTCATAATAAAAAATCAATTATCCAGGATAGCTTTCATAGCTATTCTTGAAATACGTTCTAGCTTAAAATATCAAATACAATACCTCCTTCCATTTGTGCAGATAACAGCAGCTAACTGAAGACCTGTCTGTAATGAGGTAACTCTTTCAAGTTCCTATGGAAAGATTAAGTATAGGTTATTGTGTGAAGTATTTCATTTTTCCTTCTTATTCACGTGGTACTCTAACAAAAACTTGAGTGGATTTAAAAGAAAAGCCTGTTTGGAAAACAAAGTAACAACAAAAATACCTGAATGTGAAAATTATTAGCACATTTTTCACAAGATTCCCTAAAATGACTAGTTTCAATCAATTTTCACAATGGCATATGACAAAATGTTTAGCCAGTATTGCCTGTAATGAAATCTAGACCCAATCTGTTTTAGGCAAGAGTAAATAAATATAATATATCCGTTTACATGTTTCTACCCAACAGAATTTCACAAGATAAGCAAGGATATGACAAATATAATTTCTGTTTACTAAGATGCTTTGACAATGAATGTCTTCATTTGAGCACTGGTATATATATCTCTGTGGACTTTGAAGTCTCTGATTTTCAATGAAAAGACAGACTCTGCTGGACAACTCCAATTTTATCATATTTTAAAGCCAGATTGTTACATGGCCATTGAATGATCAGTATTGATGATTTGTTACAAAGTATACAGAAGCAATTTTCACTGGCGCTTCTAAAGTTTAGAAAACCAAAGAGATTACTTAAGAATCAGAAATATCACAGATACAGCAGGAGAAAAACTGTAGAACAAAAAAT